ATCACCATGAGCAATATTAATATATAAAGGAACACAAACCACGTTTACCCCCCTCACGTCTTTGCCTTCTTCTCTGTGCAGGACAGTGTAAGCATTGCTGTGCTTACATCCAACCTGTCTGCAGTCTGCACTACGCAGTGCAGAGTGACAGATGCCTGCAGACCACTACTGAGAACAAAGAATGGATCACAAATCCCTATCGGCGCGCATCTCCTTCCATTGTTGGTTGTGTGCAATGAGGTGGGATCGGGGGTGGAAGGGGGGTGTGCACGGCTACACGTCAGCAGAGTCTTCCAGCAGTTTGTGATCCGTGTCCCCAGTGATTACACGTGTGCATTGGCCATGAATCCATTGACGCTGATTCACTAAAGGAGTTGAGGCTTTTCACGTAATAAATTGTGTGAATCTTGCGTGAATATTCATTTCAATTTTCCAATCACGTGAAAAGCAAGTTGTACTCCGTTATCTGCAGGTGACGGGCGTCACCGACGTGACAATTCATTGTGTGAAGACTCCGAAATTCTTTAGTGACTCTTCCGGGTCTAAAGTAAGCGTCTTCCACGTTTTCATCTCAGTCTTTGTCTGCAGGAGCTGGGCTCTCTATATGACGTACAGTGCAGACTGCAGACAAGCTGAATGTATACAATGTTATGTTCACAATGTCCTGCGCCCCCCGTGATGGCGGCTTCTAGAACACGGGGTGGGGGAGGGGGGAGAATGGTCAGAGGTCAGAGGTTAAGTTGTCACTCTCTGTCCTATGGAGCGCTGAAAGCAGAGTTACCCTTTAATACATCTCTGCAGCCCTTCAAAACCTATAGTTGATTGTGGAGCCCCCGGAACTTTGAAACCACTTGGGGTACCCCCAGAAGCCTCCAGCGTCTTTATTTATAGAGCCTCCGGGGACGTAATGTCCCATAGAGAACAGAAATAGGGAACAGCAAACACATCGGATGGTGTGCCTGTGGCAGGCGTGCGCAGAGGCGCTTTCCCTGGACTCGGATCGCCTGGCGGGTGATAAATCCTTGCACTGGATGACTTCACTCTCTGACTTCACTCTCTGACCTCACTCTCTGACCTCACTCTCTGACTTCACTCTCTGACTTCACTCTCTGACTTCACTCTCTGACCTCACTCTCTGACTTCACTCTCTGACTTCACTCTCTGAC